CCAGTCTTTCCCACAAACTGATGCCAGGAGCTTGCTCAGCAGGCAGAGGACCTCTGGAATCAACAAGTGATTCTTCTGCACTGAAGGACAAAAGTGTTCAGAATCATGTACCGTCATGAACATGCGTCTTTGCATGAACATGAAGTAATACACAATAATTCGGTGTCCAACATTATATGAATTGGCACTAAGTGACCAAAACAAGATATGACAACTATAGTTATAATTATGAAGAAAGCAATAAATAAATTTGCCTAGTCATATTTGTTTCCAATTATGTTGTAATTAATGAGTTGGAAACCATTATTAGAAATGTGTTAAATGAGTAAAAGGAAAAGTGAAATCAAGGTGCTAGATTACCTATATGGCATACTGTCGACCCTGTGAGGGCGGTGTGGGAAACCAGAGGATCCGTATCTGGCGCTTCGTTTACGAACCAATTCCAACCATTGGGTGAATCTAAAAGCAGGACCTGCAGCTATGTCTCCCAACATGTACAACACCTGCATTTTCCAACTTCTATTAAGTTTTTCACTGAAAACCAAACAAAGCATGACCCAGATGCAGGAAACAAGTGGACTCTTACCCGGGAAGTGACGGTGAGGGGAAGAGGGAGGTCAGCCTCGTCAGATCCGAGATCGAGCTCTTTCTCTTCCTCTTTCTCCTGCAACTCTCGCATATATACAGAGAAAGATTAGCTAATAAGCAAGAGCGTTGATGATCCTGCGATCTTAATAATAATAATAATGATAATAAAAAACCCAGATCCAACACAATGAAAATTTGAAAAAGATAGAGAGAGATCTATGCATATGCAATTATACATAAAGATAGATAGAATTAAATCGGAACAAGAGGGAAATAAAAAAAAAAGGAAAAGAAAAGAAAAGTAAAGGTTAAGGTGTACCTGGAGAGGGGAGATGATTGCAGCAGCATGGTTTTCCTTTTGCTCCTTGGCCATAACTTTATGATTTTCTTTATGTTTAGTGGGGAACGTTTGGTTTATAATTTTGGGAAGGCTGCAACTCTAAGTGGAAGTCAACAAGGAGGGAGCGATAATTAGATGGGTGTATGAAAAAGCAAGAGAAAAGTTTCGCGCTTTTTCAGGTGGGTTGTCATTAATCAGAATCAGAGATATATGAAGAAGAAGAAAGAAGAAGATGCTTCGGCCTTATTAGCATTTGCCGCTCCTAACATGCAATTCTGTGATTCCAACGATAACAACTTCACTATCTCCATTTACAGGGAAGGGGGAACTGATCTCTCATTGGCCATTGGGTTAGTTATAATCTATACCGCTGCTTTTTTTTTTTTTTTTTTTTTTTTTTTTTTTTCTCCCGAATGAATCTAACAGTTATTCCATCAAGAAGAAAGATTTAGAGATTTTTTATTTGAAGTATTTTTGTTTTAATTCATGTGTTTTTGAAATTAATTTCTATTTGTTATCTCTTAAATGGTTGTCTAATAAGCAAATCAATGAACCAAATTTTCTTTTAAAATATTGTGTTTTTTTTCTTCTAAATTATGTTTTTATAAAATTTTAAAAAATATTACCTTAATTTAACTTAAAAAATTGTTTGAAATTTTATTTAAACTAGACATAAAATTTCAAAATAATTCTAAGAGATAGTTAATTTCATGTTTCCATATGCTGTGTGTATGTATATATTATATATGTATGTATCATATAGCCACACACATAGAAGAAGAATGACAAAAAAAAAAAGTCTTACAACCTTAATACAAATAATATTTTCATTCTTTTTCTAGTAGAGCAAATAAACAAAAACATCCCTTAATTTTACATATAATGCGAATAAAAACCATATTTATAGTTTTTTTTAATAAAATTTTTATATTAATCATAATTAAAATATCAAAATTTTTATATTAATCACAGTCATATTTTTTGAAATTTACATATAATATTTGTTGCAATAATTGTAATACCATTGATAATTATTATTATTATTATTTTTTTTGGCAATTTCAATAAATAAATGAAAAGCTAACCCTTTCTTGCATAACTTCAAAACTTCGTTAGAGAAGCATAAATGTCTTGTATTGTTAATTTAGTTTTATAGTAAGGAAAATTTTATTCTAATAAGATATTATTTTTATATCAACATTCTAATATAAAAAGTTACTGATACAATATTGTTCTAATAGAGTATTGATAATTATAATCTGTCTGTAGCTTTATATTTTTTTTGTAACAACAAAATCCCAATGGGTGTAGGAAAAAATTATAAGAATCAAATGCGTAAACTTGCTCCAAAAGATGAAAATTTGGTAATGAATGCAAGCAAAATATATTATAAAAATTAAAGTTCTTGCATAGAGGGCTGCTAATTAAATGAGAAATGAAATTAATTACTTTAAGATTTTTCATTATCAAGATAATTGAGCCTAATGCTACAAAATATTCTTGTATTATGTTAAAATCTTACAAAAACTATTGGAATCAAATTGCAATATTATCTGTAGTTCAAAGACAGAATAATAACATAGCTAGATGGATAATTTATTTTAATCTTTTAAAGAAATTTTCAGGCGCCTAAATTTCTAAATGCAAATATATAAAAATTCAAACTTTAAACACATGGAAATTAAGAGAAAACCCAAAAACTAGTTATACGATAGCTTGCTTAAAAACTAATGTTTTTACATAAAATAACGAATATAAACTAGAATTGAATTGACATAAAAGGAGAATTAATAAAATGCAATAAGCTTAAACCACATGAGACAAAATTACAGTTTGACAAAATTTTAGTTTTAAATAAATTCTAAACTAAACTTAAAAAGCTTATAAAAATTAATAGTTTAAAAGAAAAGTTAATTCATTCATTTTAGTGTTCTATCAATAGAAAGCCAAATGATATGTTACAAAGATAAAAATAATATCACAACTAGAGTTTCTAAATAAATTCTTAAAAGAATACCCCATCGCAACTGAATTATAGCCATCAATGAGGGTTTGTTCTGCTTTCTTTCATATTAAAGACTAATTTCAAATTTCTCTTCCTGCTCACGTTTTCTTTCTTTTTGGAACTTTGAAACATACCCGAGGAGATTGATTCACTGAACAGCACAAAGTGTGTTTGAAAAGATTAGCAAATTTGCTTTTCTGCATCTGGATTTATCAATGAAACTAGAATTCCAGGCTTGTCACTAAGCTGGAAAGGCTAAAAATGAAAACTTCGGCTTTGTATTTGGATTTATGGAAGACAAAAAAGGGCTCTGTGGTCTGGCAATGTCAGCTTGAAGGGTCAAGACAGCCAAACAACTTTCGTTTGGAATTGCAAATGAGATTTCTTTAAAAACACTGGCAACATATTTTCCAAGCAATACCAGCTATGCTTGTAAACTCCCGCATTCAGCTCACCAATTCTGTCATCAGCGTTCATCACTCTACATATTTTATGCTAGTCCTCAAACAACACAGATTTTTTTTTTTAAATTTCTGATTTCAAAATTGCAAAAACACACTTATATGATAATTACAGCCCTACCATCATCCTCAGAATTCAATAGTACCTCTCTCAATCAGGTACCAGCTACAACACCAGATGCGAAGTAGCTTAGTTCCATGAAGAAAGCAAAGTGATACTATCAAAATGGAGCAACATATATGTGAATACAAAAAAAATTGGAAAGCCGAAATATACATATAGAAAAAATTTGACATCAGATATTTCAAAAAGAATGAAAAAGGAAAAAGAAAGAACTAACTTTAAACAAGTATGCCATGATGATGGTCTATGAATCTGCAGCTGGCTCGTGATTACCAATGAAAGTAAAAGAGGGCTGGTCAATTTCTTTTCTAGATGCTTCCCAAAGTTGCTGTTCTATCCCCAGTTTCCTCAGCTCCACTAACCCTCGCTCCACTGGCATTAAAGCACAAAAATTTTGCAGTTAACACCTATAGCAAGGTTATTTTATACTAATATTATGTGGTAATCATATAATATTCCATAGATTCTTCTCTCATTTCCTTCTATTTTGGACTGAAGTCTATGTCAACTCAGACTTCAGCAGAGAGAAATCAAGTGTACCCAGCCAAAAAGAGAAATGAATTGTCAACCATTCATTCTTGGTAAGCAAAATTTCATAGATTTGTTTCTAAATTTCAGCAGAACATTCTTAATTTACTTTATCTCTCTTAACAATCATATAACTCAGATGAAATCAGAAACAAACAAATGCACAACCGATAACCGAGATAGAAACATAACATAAACATGGGATAACAACAATGTAAAACTGACGAAAATTAAATTCAGCAATAAATGATAAAAAATTTACCGTGGATTATGAAACTTGAATTTTTACTAAACACTGTAGATTATGAAACTTGAATTTTAACTATACACTGCTTCAGAAAATGATGCACGTCAGTTTGCCCCAAAATAACTGTCTTGTAAATCATATGCCTATAGGTGCTGATTTAATTATTACAACCAAGCAGGAAGAATAAAATCAAAAGAAATGGTAGCTCAAGTGCAAAGGGCTCCATTCTCCCAGAGGAAGATCACGAACTTGAACCTGTGTGCGGTACTAGTTCATGCTTCCATTTGTTAAAAGGAAGGAGCCCTTGCTTGTCTCTCAATGGGACTGCAATTACATTGTTGTTCTAAAAAGATAGTTATATCTCAAACCGAATATTGCACAGCAGGTAGGGACTTCGATCAGATGGTCACATTCAAGGAGATTTGGCCCTTTTTTTTTTGAGAATTGGCCATATTGATTATCCTTTCCTGCTCATTTTTTTCTCTACTAAATTTTATAAAAAGAGAACACAGATTGGTTAGCCATGGAAAAGGCAACTTTACCATCAACAGCATCGTGTGAAGTTGGTGACTGCCCACTACGACTGATCCAAAACTGAAGACATTCTTCTGCAATATCCTCTTCCACACCGTGTACTTTGGCTCTTCTCCAAAAATAGGTTAGCCAAGCCTGAAGATGTACAAAAGCAAGAAAGCGAAACATAAAATATGACTTCTTATAAGATATGTGCATTCTCTATTTAACCAGAAAAAACAAGGTACAAACCCATTCCCTACAATACCCAAGATAATCCCACAGGCAATCCAGTAACAGTGTGAAACCTGCACGGGGCATCTACTTTGGGGTTTGCTTAAGTGTATGTTTGGAAGTTGCAAGGGAAGAGAAAAAATAAAAAAGATACAGGGGGTTAGAAAGGAGAAGGAAAAGATAAATTTTCCTTCCCTTCATTAGATGTACGAAAAATGGGAGAAGAAAGGTAGAAAAAAGTTAAGGTTATTTGCTTGTTGAGTGGAGAAGGAAAATCTGGGTTTCCTATTCACTTTTTATTTCTTTTGCTTTTATATATTAAGTGCTCTAAATAATAATAGTTTACAGTAGAGATTTATAATTATCATTTGCATACATTTAAGTACGACAAATACTCAAATTCTACAATAAATTAAAATAAATTATGTATCATGAAGTAAAATTTAAAATTAATGAATAAGCAATAAATAATTAGTTACTAATTCTCTTGTCAATCCATTATGATATTAAGTGAAAGACCTAGGCATGATTTTAGGACCAGGCACAGCTGTGCTCCTGACCAAAGCGAGGTCCCAAAACTGAGCATAGTCCCTGAACCCCAACACATCCCACGACCCCAGTGCATTTCCAAAATATTGACCAGTCTCGTACTCTCGGTACAGGCCTGAGCCGTGGTCCACTCCTCAGATCCAGACATGTTCCAAGCACACAGCCAGGGTCAGGACTCTGGCGCAATCTAGAACACCAGGTGCACTTCTAGGACAACAAATGGTCGTATAAAGATTCCGTGGGAGTTTACCAAATATCCAGAGTAAATTTGTTCTTGATTTTCTTTTCTCTCATTTAAATCCCAAATTATAGCATTGGAGGGTTAAAATTCAAAATCACTTTCTTTTCTCTCCAAATTATACTCCTAAACAAGGGAAAAATAAAATAATTTTATTTTCCTTTCCCCCATTCTCCATCCAACATACCCTAAATGATCGACATTTAATTCATCAAACTAATTTAGTTTCCAAGAAACATAAAAAAGACAGACCATTTCGCATCTGTTGACGCAGGCCAAAAATACATAAATTAGAAAGAAAGTCGCAATATAATTAGAATTCCGTGGCCTTGTGTTAACACGAGAAAGTAACTGACCTCTTTAAAAAGAACATCTTCTGCCTCTCCTTCACTTAGTTCTGCAATTAAACAGGAAAGCAATTAATATTAGTGAATCAAATTCAGATATGCAGCCTCTGTCAAGGTTAACTTATCAGTACTTTATTCTGGTAAACAGTTTATTATAGCTTTTTTTCTTGAAACAACCCCATATTATAGATAATCAGACTTAAAAGCATAAAATGACGAATAAGAGTATCTTTCTTACCAAATGCCTCCATGAACTTGGGATCACTTGATGTTTTGTTGTCTGGAAATCATAAAAATAATAACCAAAATCATTGATGCACAATATCTTCCCTATGGTCTTACTAGACTGTCAATCTTCTCAAAGTGCTAATTGTAGAAATAGAAAGCAAAATGGAAACAAAAGACTTAAGTATGATTTTTGGCCATTAAATAATTTATATCTCATGCTTTGAATTATGGATAGCTAAAAGAATGATATGAAGATTATTTGCAAAACAATGAGAATCAATCAGATGCCAATGATTGCAGCACGATGCTGAAGAACAGTTATTTGCCTAAGTAGAGAATGCAAATAAAAACATCACCTGAGAAGGTTTGTCGAACCAAACTTGGTCGTCTGTGTTGTGCCAAGCCAAGCACGACAGCATCCTCAACCTTAATTCAACAATGAGATAAACAAGCAATCAATAGCTTTCACTGTATGGTAAAACAAAAAACAGAAAATGAAACTTCACATGAGCTAAAAAAAAAGCCAACAGTCTTCAAATCCTTGTTTTTCTTCCCTGAAAGTTAACAATGTTCACTATCCCTGAATCCATCCCAACGGATGGAATCACTTGTAGCACATATTGACAACCAATATTTAGGATGGATTATAATAAATAAGATAGTGGTATTATTATGCACCAAGGTGGCAAAACCTTAACGAGTTTACTGGTCAAGTGTACTGAAGAGGGTCACAGAAGATTCAAAAGATAGTTGCAGCCTCCAAGAGTCCTGTTAACACCAGCATCTGCTTCTGTTTAGTATTTCTTGGCTCCTTTGGATTATGTCACTAGGCTGTCAGGATGCACTAAGGAATTTCATATTAGAACTTCCTACAGCATAGCATTTGTTTGTCCTTAATTTCTATACTAGGAGTTGGCCAGGTCTCTTACTTATTTCCTATGTTGTAGGAGCAATGCTCCCAATAGATCCCAAGACTAATAATAAATAAAGCATCTGCCAGTTATCCTGAAGAACTCGAGAGTTCTCTGAGAGATCTTGAGTTCTCTTCAACAAGCCTAACATGCTCTGCCAAGGCTACTAATATAATAAGCAAGCTTCAAGCTTACTGGAAGACTTTTCCCTCAACCACTTTGTGACCCAATCACAAGTAAGAGAACATAACAGGCACACCCCTTAAACTTACAATAAAACTGCAAAGAAGAGCTTTACAAAACTAGTCTAATGAAAGAAAAGCAAAGATAAAAAACCTTCAATGATGCTAGTTCTCTCAAACCCATTTCAACTGAAAGCATACTCTCGATATTTCCTTCTCCAGTTAGATCACTCAAATCCCGAACAAGCTTGCTCCTATCAGGATCATCACCACCTAATCCATTCAGGATATAATGACTTAACATACAGCACAAAATGGTTTTTAAATAGGCAGGAAGAAAATGTTAAACAAATTTAGGGTCCATAAGTAAAACTAGCCTCTATCCCATGACTCCTCCTTAGCCTTTTGTCCAGCAGAGACAACAACTTCAAAAGGAAGAGGCGCCAAAGCTGACCAATGCTCATGCCTTGATGCAGCTATGTCCGCACAAATGCCTATAAAATGCCACAGTGAAAAGCAATTTAGAAATAGATAGACAATTAACAGTCTACCAAGTCAGTCAAGCCAGCATGAGGTCACGTGCATCACATAAAGAAATAGACAAGCATGGGGAACATGGCTACCAAATAAATCTGTAACTTGCTATCAGTAATTCATAGTTATTACTTCTATATTCATCAAAGGATTTGTGTGAAATTTAACCAGAATAAAAAAAATGAAAATTCCCAAAGATTCATTATCTTTATCAGATTTACAGGAAGAATGACATAAGCAAGCTCCATGTCCCTAACTAAAACTAGTAAAGATGCATTGAATAAAGAATAAATTCATACTGCTTATAAGGCAACAATCATTACCATGACGCACAGCTAATCCCCAATAGCGAGCAAGCCAACATCTCTTTAGGACAACTTCTTCCTGGAAGTAAGATGCAGTTTACAGTTAGGAGCTGAAAACTATTGGTAATAAATCTCTTTCCAGCTTCAGCATACATACCATTTCCTCCTGGGTCAAAATCATTCTTTGTGTCATTGAACGAAGGGACTTTACTTCAGACTCTGCTTCTTGGAGCTGTTCCATAGCTGTTGCTGCTTCGTCTTTCAAGTTCTAATAATTGTATGCAAAGAATGATATAAATATTAGTGTAAATAAAAGCACATTCTATCGAAAACAATGTTGTCAATCACTAAATGCTCAATACCTGAAGTTCAGAACGAAGGGAGGCAGTCTCCTCACCTCTTCCATCTTTTGTTTGTTTAGCTGCCTTCAGAGCAGCCTGCAATAACCAGCATTTTGCAGATTATTTAAACATCAAACAATCTGAATCTAATACTTCTTTTTTTTTTTTTTAAAAAAATAAACAATCTGAATCTAATACTTCCATGAGAAAGATAAAAAATAAATGATGTAAAAATCTTAAAAACTATATTTATACAGCACAAAGAACAATGATGGAAAAGCTGACCTCTCTTTGACGTAAGGCTGCTTCCTTCCTGTAAAAGACAATGCAGAAGTTCACATTCAGAATAATAAATGAAAGAATTGCATGCAAACTAATAACCCTTACCTACTCAATAATTTGGCCTCCAGTGATATACCTTCTCCAAGAGATGCAACCTGAGAGCGTAAATATTAAAATAAGTAGTCAGGTAATAAGGCTACAAACAAATCCGCCTGGGAATATGCAGGGCATATTCACCATCCAATTGCTTGATGACTCAAAGTCTTAAACACCTACAGATTTGGAGCAAATTACATTCAGGCATAAATATGAAATTTTAACCAACAAAAAAAATTGCAACACTTACTAATAAGGGATTTGTCTTAGTTTGTTTTTTCTTTTTTTGGGTTCAAGGAGAGCTGTTTGGCATAGGATGAAGAACTATAAGCTTTTGCAATAGCTTATTTTATAAGCCTGTAGGGGTAGCTAATTTTAAGAGCTATAAGCCACCTAAAGTAGATTACTATTGACCAAGTATAATGACAAAACTACCCTAAACTTGAATATTCAAGCCCCAAAATGTTTCTAATTTTCTATCATATGTAAGCATATTTTTATCCCAACAAGTTAACAATCAATTTTGTTGAGTAAGCTTACTTAGGACTAGTGAATAGCTTGTAAATTCCTCTATTTTTAGAATAAGAATACATCTTCTAAATAGATACCTGGTGAAAATTGCATAGTATCCAATATTCACCAATGTTTTAGAAGTCCTATTTGAGGCACTTTGATTTTGATCGGAAAAGGGAGAAGGTGGTGTTCATCTAAGCGTAAAGACGTTTATACTAAGGGTGAGTAAGCTATCCAGTTCTATGTTGAACCAAGTGAAACCAAACATGGTGGTTGAATTTTTAAACCAAACTGATTGAGATTGGTTCTAGCTCTAGTTCCAATTTTTCTAGAGTGAATTTGTTTTCAGGTTTCTTATTCCACCCTCAAAACAGACCATGAACAGAGGCAATATGCTTAGTTCCATGAAACTAATCATAACATGCTAATCAACTTTAGGTAATAACTTTCATTAGTTTAAGGTAGTGATAATAATTTAGAGTTTTGGCTTTATATTTTCTTTGCATAACCAAGCAAATAATTAAAAATTAAAATATTTAAATAACAATTATTTTTTTTTTAAAAAGAATAGACTCACTGCAGAACTGGAAACTCTCCCCTAAAACTTCCAACAATATCCCCATAAATCAGTTTTTTTTTTCTGAAATAAAAAGTGTAGAAGTATATTAAAAGGAACCAAAGGAGTGTCATCCATGTACATCATATTTATAAAAAAGTAATAGTATCTAGGACATTCGTAAAATCTTCCCACCTATACATGTCATGACCTAAAATTACCGAACCAAAAAAATGTAACCACCTACCCCTAATTCTTTTCATCTCACCCTCAATACCATTAAAAGTCCTACTATTCTGCTCTTTCCAAACCACCTAAAAATTAGTTGAAGAGATAAGCTTTAAATGATTTTTCTTTTGACAAATCCCCTTCCAAGCCCATAATTTCTCTCTCACTGACCCAGCAATCACCCACTTAATGCCAAACAGATTGTACACCATGGTCCACAACTCATAGACCATCAGGCACCAAAGGAGAATATGGCTACAGGTTTCTCCATAAATCAGTTATTAGTTCTAAATTAAACTGGAAGGGCCCGTATAATGTTGGATCCAATTCTAATTTGATAATTCGAAAATAAAGGAACCAGTCATGATTGGCTATCTTATGAACGGAAAAAGATTAAGCAGCCAGGTAACATAACAGGTACATTTGATTTATTTTTAATAATTTTCAATATAATACTTGTGATTTGTCTGTTAATCAGGTATTGTAATACTTTTAGTTCACATATGGACGATCAGAATTTGAAAACGTTTAATATGTAGACAGTTTAGATCAGATTGAAAATAAAAAATCTAAAAGTTTTATTAGTTTTAATATAACTGCCCCAATATTTCTTCAGTCTATTGTTTTAAAATTTTCTGTATCTGAAGTTCTATTGCTTAGTTTATTCTAGTTTCAATTTTTAAAATCTTTTTAAATTTTAGCTTTTTCATTCGTAGATAGTCTAATTTGAGTCACGTGTCAAACTCTTTAAAATTTAGATTGTTCCTATGTTCAAAGTAACAATATTATATAGTTTGACTAACATTCAAGCCATGAATATTTAAATTACTAAAAATAAAATTGTTTTGAATCTGAAAACCTCCTATTGCAGGATATTAAAATCTTAATGTGCCTTAAAATTAATCAAATTGTAAACTAATAGTTTTATATTGTTTGACCAGCGTTTAAATCATGAGTACTAAAATCACTAAAAATAAAATATAGTTTGAATCTGAAAAACCCCCAAATCAGAGGGTATTAGACTGTAATTTGCATTAAGATTTAATCCAAGTACAATTTAGCATAGGATCAACTTTTTAACAATTTTAAATCACCAACTGTAACAATTAAAATGAGTTTTAATACATAATTCATAAATCTAATTCAATTTATTTGTTTTTATGGTTCTTACCTCATTAATTAATTTTATTTTATTTTATTTTGAATTCAAATGTCTCTCAGAGGTTGAATGTAGATGGTTTGGAGTCTACTTCTTTGAACAATGCAAATGGGAATTTATTTAAGTATGAGTTCTCTGAGGAAACGATTTGGCCAACCATATTAAGCTGTAACAGGGATAATGTACCAGCAGTCTTCCCATAGCTTTCCTCTACAACAATTCGGTGACTTCTAGAGATTATTATGATCTTTGGGGATTTATACATCTACTGAAAAATTTGTGGAGACTATTAATTCTACATTTATTGTTTAGGAAGTAAAGATTTTTTTTGTGTCAAGATTGTTAGGGAGAGTTCTTTCAATTGGATTATTCATAAATTCGATTAAGTTTATTTGTTATTTTTTTTTTGAAATAAAAAGTAAGGTATATATATATATATAAACAAGGTATCAGGTGAGGGGGTACCGTCCATTTACAAAGAGGATTTACAACCGTATTAGTATATTAATGATATTTCCAAAATCCACATCACTAATGATGTCATGACCTAACAATATTGATATAAAATAATGTAACCACTTATCTTTTAGTCTGTTAATACTACTCTCAATATTGTCAAAAACTCTACCATTGCTCTTCTTCCATATGACCCAAAAAACTGTCAATGGAATCAAGTTTACGATTTTATTTTTTACAGATAGCCCATCCCATCCCAAGCCCAAAATTCAGTTTATTTGTTATTTTTTTTAATTATATATTAATTTTGGTTTTAATTCAGATATCTCTCATAGGAAAAAAAAATCAGAGATTAAATTGGATAGCCTAGGGTTTGCTTCTTTGAATAAAATGGATATTAGAGCATGAATCTCTCAAAAAGCGATTTTGGCAGCATGAATATGGTTTTTTCATAGCACTATGAGCCTTTTGGTGGTTTTTTCTCCACATGGTGAGTTTGTGGAAACCATTATTTTTACATTCACTATTTGGGAAGGTTGTTTGTTATCTTGTGGAGGTTATTAGTGAGATAATCTCTTTTCGCTGGATTATTGTAGCAGGCCAAGTATGCTAACTGCTTCTCACTTGAGTTCTCGAGGTTTGGGGCATGTAATTGATGGCAACCTGAATGATTTTTTTTTGAAATATAAGAGAAATAATATTATTCACAAAGGTATCAAGGGAGTACCGCCCATGTACAAAACATAGTTACAAGTCAATTAAGTGGTCCATGACTCATCCAAAATCATCCTAATTTTTGATGTCATGACCTAACAAAATAAAATCAAAAGTATACATCCATTTATCTTTAATGTTTATAATGTTAGTCTCAATGCTCTTAAAAACTTTCGCATTTCTTTTCTTCCACACAACCCAAAAAATAATTAGTGGAATAACGAACAAATGTTTTAATAAGGAACAAATGTTTTTTCTTCTTACAAACCTGTCCAAGCCCACAACTCTTTACTCACATTTTCAGCCATTACCCACAACTTAAACCCAGCAAACCCAAGACAAAATTTCAGATGCTGTAGGTTGTCGGACACCACAAAAGTAGATGGTTGCATGTCTCCTCAACCGATTTGCAAAGGTAGCATCTGTTAACCATGGTATTACCTCTTTTTTTCAGCATATCAATAGTCAAAATGCATTCCTTAGCAGCTTCCCACGTAAAAAAAACCATCCCAGGAGGGGCCTCAGTTTTCCAAATCTGTTTAAAGGGTGCTGAAATGATATTATTTCTATCATTTGTGCATAGAAAATTGTACACCAATTTCACAGAAAAACCATTTTTCTCATCAGCTTCCAAACTCTTTTGTTCCTTGTTTCCTTCTCCTTCATGCTGCCCAAACCACAAGCAGGTTGCAATAGTCATTGATTTCCCAATCCTGCAAGTTTCTTGTAACTTTCACATTCCATGCC